GCCTTCGGGCGGGAAGTCCAAGTACCGCTGAGCCGCTTGCTGCTGCTTCGGGGTGAACAACTTGTCTCGCCTCTCGCCTTTCACTTCCTCAACGCGCTCGTTCTCCGCAAACGTTGGGATGAGCATGATGCCAGCAGCGTGGCCCAGATTTCGCGCTCTCGGCGAGCAAATGTTGTGCACCATGCGCGCCTGCGCAGTTGGCGACGGGGCGTTTGCGCAACACAACCACCAGCTCCTGACACCAGGCCCAAGCCGGTCGCTGACACAACTCAGGCCGCGCCGTCTGCCTCGCTCGTCACGTCGAAGCTCGGAAGCGAAGCCGTTGCTCGTGCGCCGCGCCAACTCCAAGCTCCTTTCAAGTTCCCTCCCAACTTGTCCTCACGCTGCTCTTGCGCACAAGCATTCAAAACACAAACCCTAAACCCTAACAAAAAACATGCCTGCGCAAGTTCCCCAGTCCGAGAAGCTGCGGGCTCCAAACTCACACGGAACTCCTCGGTTTGGCCCTTCTGTTTCCACTAACAAGACCCTGAATGTTGACCAAAAACATCCTTCGCGCTTCTTCCGCAATCCGCAAACCCGCAAGGCCTCAAACTTGCATAGACAGAGCTTGTGTTTTTTCTTGTTCTGCCTTTCCTACAACTTTCGCACGCCGCAGTCCTGTGAGCAGATTCAAACCCACCACGCCCTAAGCAGAACGTGTTGTCTGCGCTGGTTTCCTCAGTCTCTGCTCTTGAGTTTTCATTCCAGCGCTCTTCGCCCATCGTGTTGCGCGCAGACTCGAAGCAACCAGAATTTAAACTGTCAGGAAACACACATTCTGAGCGCAAAAAATTCACAAGTTCCCTCTCGCTTGCGCTCAGTCTTCTCATGAAGTATACACAACATCCGTCTTGAAAGACAACTACAGTAAGCCCTCCGCACCTTTGCTGATCCTTTTTCCGCATGCATTCTCAACTTTTAAACTTGGGAACTCTAATGCTCGTCGAAACTACTCTTGACACATCATGTCTGTCTTTGCAAAACATATTCTTTTGCCGATCCCGTCCACTTGTTTCAAGAACGTGCTCATTCCGCAGATACACTTTTGCGCCACGTCGACCCACAAACCCGCCCGACCCCAGCCACATCAAACCGAACCAAAGCGACCGCCTGAACAAACCAATCCAATCCCTCAACGCCAATCTGAGCCCCTCCCAAACCAATCAAGTCTCCAAACACCACTTCGACAACCATCACTTACCATTCCGAGCCCCAAACACCAACCCCCTGCTCGCCAAAATAAGACGCAGAAGAGCGGCAGCAAGCACCAGGGAACCTTCCGCGAAGAAATGTCGCACTCCCAAACTCGACTCCGGGAAGGCCGGGGAAAGAGCTCGCCCGACTGAATTTTCCGGGAGCCTAGCAGACCAGTCCTTACTGGCGGAGTGGCGAATCATTCACGCTTGCAACAATTTGGCGCTTCATAGCGCTTCGGCACGCACTGGCCAAGCCAAGAGAATTGTGAGAATTTCAAGCCTCAAACAAAACACAATCATTCAATTTCATCCACTCACCGAGCTCCGGCAACGGCTCCTGGGCAGGTCTCCCCTGTGCAGGCAGCTGCTGGCCAAGGTCAGCCGGAAGAGCGCCATGGCAGGCAGCAGCCTGGCTCGCTCGCGCGGCTCAAGCAACCAAAGTGGCCTACACATAGGTGGCCTTTTGGAGGAAAAAAAGAAAAGAGAAAACAGCTGATCAATGAGGCAGAAACCCCCTCTAAACCAGGGGAACCCCTCCATTTTTTGTGCAAACCAGAGCCAAACCAGGGTGCAAGGCCCAAAACGCCACCAAAGAGACATACCCCAGCACCAGCGCCACCGCCGCATATTGCACACCACTCAGGCACGACGCAGCTTGCAGGCCATGGTCCCTAAAGGGAAACCAGCACGATGTTGAGACCAGCTGCGCTTCGCTGATGGCTAAAGGCCTGACCAACCAAGTAACATATTTATACAAGTTGGGCCCCGCCCCTATCCCAAAAGCTTCAGATCCTTTCCCTGTTGCTGGAAATCATGTACACCCCTTCCGGCATAGACAGGAATCAAACCCCGTCCACTCCTGAGCGCCCTGGCCGCTATCGCACGGAAGCATGGCACAGGGGCCCGAAAAACGAAAGCTTGACAAAATGATTGCCAGTTGCAGGCATGTACAAAACGCTCTCTATTGCTGGTCGCGGCTTTCCACCTGAACAAAACCCATTTCAGGAACTCGACCGACGCGCTGGGATTCAATCCAAGCCAGGCGCGCCAAGGGTGTTCTCCTGGCGCGCCATCCCCATGGGCTCAGGCCGTCCACTCCCCACGTATCGAAACGTTCTTTCTCGCTGTTCAGGGCAAGAAAATGTGTTGCTTGACCAACCTCAACCTGGATCAGTCGCACCTTGCCCTGGCACATGGTCTCAGCCAGCGCGCGCGCGCACCCGGTCTCCCGGGGGCTTCGCCCCAATTGGCCCATGCCCCCCCCCCCCTCCTGCGCTCCATGACCCAAGCGCCGCCTGGCACGAGGCTCTCCTTTCGGTTCAAAGGCCCAACCCCCCCCCCCCCAGCTTCACGAAACTGGCTACCTGGACATGACTCGCGATCGGAGATCTTCAAGAACGCAGTCAGGCAGGTAGCTCCTAGGAAGCCTATATACTCTGGAGTCCGGCGAGGCTAAAGGGGGTACCTCCCATTCCATTCGCGAGAGTCAGACGCTCGCAAGCTGTCACACCAAGTTTCGCCCAGCAAACAGAAACAGCCACCAAAACACCCGCGTTACCTTGAAAGTAAGGAGTGTTGGTGCAAAGAACCGCTGAAATTCACTCACAATGGAACTGTCAGACCTATCTTCTCCCAGCCGGCAGAAACAGCCCCCCAAACCTTCCCGAGGACCTTGAAACTGAGAGGGTGCTTGTGCAAAAACAACCGAAAAACAAACAGCGGCGAGAGTCCGATCCTCAGCAAGCTGTCAACAACTCCAAACACCAAGTATGATTACCTGGGCGTGAAAGAGTGCATGTGCATATATATATATATATGTGTATATATATATACATATAATGTATACATCAGTACGCGCACAAACGACGCTCCAATGAATTCATCGGCATCATGATGAGCCACTCTGCCCTACACATAAGCACAGACAGCACCTTAATGGTTCAGAAGAATCATGATGACACAGGCAGCGACAAAATGAGTTCAACGGCATCAAGATGATTTTGACAGCATGCTGACAATACCACCGCCACGAACAACTATGCCAAACAAGCATGGTACGTAAGTGCTACCGCACTTTAAGCCACCAAACTCATTAGCCCCGCAACAGAACCAAGACCAGCACCCCCACCAGCACCCGCAACAGCACCATGACTGCAGCGCCAAACCAGCTCTGCCAGAAACTGGCATTGCGATTCCAGCAACACCTTGACCACCGAAACAGCAAAAACCGGAGAACCAAAAGGCCACAAGATCGGCTGTGCACTGGCACCTCGAGCACACCAGGTAGCAACTAGACCAGCAACACCTGGCCACCAGAAAACACCCCCCTAAAGAAAACAAGACAGTGGGCTAAAAAAAAACAAGTCACAGCGGCCTTACAAACAATGACAGTGGCCTCAAAAAGACGCCAAAACACAGTGGCCTCAAACAAAAAGACAGGCGACTATTGAGGCCACTGTCATGTTTTTTGAGACCAGTGTGATTTGATTTGTTTGAGGCCACTGTCATTGATTTTAAGGCGGCTGTGATTTGATTTCTTTGAGGCCACTGTCATTGATTTTAAGGCCGCTGTGATTTGACTTTTTTGAGGCCACTGTCATTTTTTCTTTTTGGGGGGGGGGTGTTTCAGAAAAATTGCTGGTCTTGTGGCCTCAAACTGGGCTGCCGTCAGATCTGCAAAAAGTCCCACTTTTAGTGAGTCAATTACGGAAATCCCCAATAAACCCCAAAAAAACGCTCAAAAAAGCTCAGGAACCGGATGGCTGGCTTCGCCAAGCAAAGACAGAGGTCAAACCCAGCGAGCTCTCGCCTGCAGCTCCTCGCAGGCTGCGGCCCCCACCGCGCAGGGGGGGCGCCAGGCATCGCCTCCGCCCGAAGGATTTTGCTCGGCCGCCCGGAAAAACGGGCCCCGCCGATGAGAAGAGAGAGGCGCTCGCTTCCCGAGTGGGTTGGTCAACAAAAAGTGTCTGAACACATCCACGCATACAACCCGGCGATCTGAGTACATCTGGGCGGTAGACATCAGGAGGAAAGGGGGAAGTCTGCTGTTTTCTAAACTTGCCAAGACCTACCCCTTAAAACTCCAAGCCCTGGGGAAGTTATTCGTTTACAGACATGTAGCCCATGTTACCCAAAAAGTTGAGAAAAGTTGCGTTTTTAAGGGTAAGAAGATGGTCTTCTTCAAAAAGCTTAAAGTCCATGAACTCAGGAAGTGAGGAGATGGTTTTGGGGGGTACCCTGCAGAAGCCAGGTATAGCTGAGGTATGCAAGTTGGCCCTTCGAAACACGATCCTAAGTTTGACACCCCTTCCCCCCCCCCCCCCGAATGATACACACTTGTCTATTTTGCAACCTTCATATGGGATATGGGCGTTTTAGGCTTTCTTGGCAACTGGTATGCTCTACGTGTCCTGATCCAAAGAATGATCACTTTAGAGTCAGAGCATCGAATGCCATCTGCCTGGGATCACCCCAAGTGAAAACCAAATACAATGTCAAGACTCATCCTTCATCCAAACGGAAAAGATTCGATTCCTGCCTGTTTGATGCAAGTAAAGCCGACTACGGTCCATTCTCAATCCTCAAGGTCACGTGCCAGCCTAGGCATTGCCCTTGGCTCAGTTGTTGGCTCTTTTCCTTTCAGAAGAGCGGCCCAAACATGACCTCAAGGACAGAAAGCTGCCGGGGAGTCTGGAAATTCACCCCTCCCGCCGCTCCGCCGGCCACCCGCTCGCGTCTTTGCCGCAGCGATCGCACCCAGCGTCACTGCAGCGTCAACGCCTCGCCAGCCGGTGAGACAACGAAAGTCGTGGGAGTTGGGTCCGTGGAATTCGGCACCCTCCCCCAGGGTGCCACGGCAAATGTCTCGCGCCCGGAGCCCTCCGGCTCCTCCACGTCCTGGGCCAAAGGAAGGTTCCAAAAAAAAGGGCAACTGGGCATCAATGCGCGTGGGCGGAAAGGGTGCGTGTTGAGCAGGAGTGACTACTTTGCAACTTTTCATTTCTCCGCCCGACCCCAGCCCCACCCACCCCAGCCCCGCCCCAGATTGCGGCCGGTTACGCCTTGCGGACGCTGAGGTGCACCGCGTTGTCCGCAGCATCTCGGTGGGCCAGCACCGCGCACACCGCAAAGTCCCGCTGCAGGCGACCCAGGGCACGCCAGCACTCCTTCATCACCTGGCCAAAGCAATGCTTCAATTAAGTTCAGCTTCCCTCTGATTGGCTTGGAGGTTTGGTGGTTCGGCGGTTAGGTGGTTTGTTTACAGCAGGTGGCGTCCCATCGGCCTCTTGGACAAACAGGCCAGGGTGTCCCTGGTCGATGGAAGAAACCCCACCTGAACCAGTAAAACCTCTCAAACTCACCTAAGGACGCCTATGGCGGGGCCTGGCCGGCGGATTTCGGGAATGCGCCCGTCATGGCCTGCCAGGCAGACCTCAAGCGCAAGATTGGCGGGAGGGGGGGGGGGGAGCCTTTTTTCAACCTGTCAACGGATCCGAACAAGACCCGAGCAAGGAGGGGGGGGGGGAGGGGAGGGGGGGGGAGCTGATGCTCCTGCCTTTTTCGACCTGGACAAATATCGAACCCCAACTCTGGCATAGGCCAAGATTAGACTGAGACTGATTCTGCTTCGGATTTAGTCAACTGGAGCATATAGCTATACAACATGTTTCTGGTTGGAGCCCTCGATTATTGGAACACCAACATGCCGTTTCCCAGCAAATTCGACTTGCCAACAAACCACTAACGTTCCTGTTGTCCTTCATGCATGAACAAGACAATATGTTTGCAAGCTGTTGAGCTCGCCACCCTGGCAAGACGGGATCCAAGCGTTCAACTGCCAAACAACACCCGGGTTGTCCCTGCATTCATGTGCGTTTGACTGTCACTGTGATCAAGATGTTTCAAAAAGCCCTTGCTCTTGCCTTTGTTTATTGCCAAGACATGGCGAATGCTGGAACTACAATGCACAAGAGGACACCACCTGGGAACGGTCAGCTGCATGTGTTTTGAACCAACGCGCCAACTCCAATCGTCGTCAACCAAGGCGGTGCAATATCCAGTGTCCACGTTACACCCTCAGCCAACACACTGTAGGTCACCCTGAGCCAAACCTAAACGGATCCGGGATGGGCCTCTGAGGTTTTCTGAAGCTTGTCCAGCCAACAGAAGCAAAGGGGAACCCCCCAACCAACTGACCTGGCACCCGACCAAAGTGGGGGAACCCAAAAAAAAATGCTGTTCGTTCTGGGTCCTTCCAGCCAACCCCAAAAAGGGTTTCCGCCCCCACCTCACCTCCCACCCCCCCACAAAACACCAAACAAAAACCAAAAGCACCTGCTTCCGCCCCGGCCCCCCACAGACACAAAGAACGAACATGACGAAACCACATCCTTGGGATTTCTCCCCCCTGCCCCTCGCCCCCCCCCCCAAAAAAAAAAAAAAACTCCTTTAAGATGACGTCCCGTCTGTTGTTTTTTGGGGCCCCAAGCGGCATGGAGTCCACCACCACCAGGCCAGCTGTGGGGTTCCGCGCGAAGAGGCCCCGCAGCTGCGACAGCTGCCGCAGCAGCTCCAGTGGCTCCTCTTGGCGCGGGATTTCTTTCGCCGGCGGCCAGCGGATCTCGAACGAGCTGATGCATCCGTTTGTTTTGGTGGAGCTAAAGGGAATCAATTCCCCTTTAAACTCCACCAACCCAACATGGTTCCTTCAAATTCCACCCCTTCAAGGCACCCCCTTGAAACCCATGAAAATTCACTAGCATCCGGGTTTATGAAGCCTTGCCGCATGTTTTTTTTGGTTTTCCTTCTTATTTGGTTAATCTCCTCGAAAAAAGGCAGTGGACTAGGCCCTTTCCCATAAGAAAAGGGAAAAAAAGGGGGCGCGGAATCCGCTGGGCAACGGGCCAGTCTGAGTGACGAACATCCAGTGGCTCAGCTTTCTGGAAAAGCCAGAAAGGAAGGAAGGCGTTGAAAGTTTGCAACCCCGTGCGCAGAGCAGGCCCAGCTTTTTTTGGGGAGTGCTCTTGCTCACACCTGCTGTCCCCCCTTGTGTTCCAAAAAGGGCAAAACAAGCATCCGTTCACCATCAACCTCCCCCCCCAATCCCCCCCGCTCCCCCACCCCCCACCCCGTCCGCCCATTTGACTTCACCCGCCAATCCCCCCCTGCACCATCCCCACCCCATCCCCCATCCCCCACCCCCCACCCCATCCGCCCCCCCACCCCCACCCCGTCCGCTCGACTCGGAAGCGAGTTGGCTGTGGCTCAAAAAACCGGAATTCCAAAATGGGTTGCCCTGGTAAGTGGAAACATGGACCAAAACCTGCGGTTTGCCCCTCCTGTTTCATTTTGAGCCACACCCATTTTGGGGTGGACGAACATCCATTTGCCAGCTATTTTGATGTTCACTCGGAGTTTGCTGGGTTTTGACCCACAGCCATGTCGCGACCCCCACCCACCCCCCACCCACCAACCCACCCCCCAGGAAGCCACTTCTCCTTGGGCCGAAAGAGCAGCAGCCGCTGCAGCGCCTCGTCCACCGCCTCCAGGGCCGCCTCCGAGCTCAGCCTCCGCCGCGCCCGGTCCTCGCCAGGGGGGGGGGTCAGGGGGGTCGGGCGGTTGACGGCGGTGGGGTCGGATCCACGCGCCCAAACGAGCCCCAAACAGAAAATCGGGACCCAAAGGACCTGAACATGAAGAGTTGAGATCTCTCTGAGCCTTGAAGCCCAACGATTCCCAGGTCCTTGGACTCGCTTTGGGCAACGAAGTGTCGATCAAAAGCAAGATTGCTCTGAAATGGTATGCTGTTGGCTGCTGTGCAGGAAGGCCCTCTAAAACCCAAACAGCTGGTCCGGAGCAGTGGTGCACAATACTATCCCAGGCCTACGCTGCGTTGCTCAATGACCGATTCAAGCCACACAATGGCCTACCCCCTGGTTGGCCACTGCCGGATTTCGCAATTTCATGTGGTTGGCACGGTCACAATGCCGAGCCCCCGAAGGTGACGCCAAACTTTCTCTCTCTCTCTCTCTCTCTCTCTTTCTCTAAATTCTGACCAACCCTCCAGGATTCCTGATGTTTCCCCAACATCACCCTAAAAGGAACTGGTTCCTCTTTCCAAACAAAAAGATTGCCAACCGGATGTGGCCTCAAAACCCCTCAAGAAACCGGTCTCCCTCAAAAAAACAAGGCCCGCTCCCCCTGCGTGGATGTCCTAAGTCTTTCAAACCCCCTGCAATTTTGCCGGGTGAAGCCCCATCAGCTCTCGGCTCTCGCGCGTCGCGAGTCGCTCCGGCCCCCGCCATAGGTGGCCTTTTGGAAAAATAGATGGGTTTCCCCTGGTCAATGGAAGAAACCCCACCTAAACCAGTGGAACCCATCTATTTTTCGTCGAAATCACCTGAAAAGGCCGCCTATGGTCCCCGCCTTCAGCAACTTCGCCAGGAGCCACACCTCGAAGGTCTGGTCCGCGTCGATGAGCACCGAAGGCAGGCCATGCCCGCCGCAGGACCGAGGCAGCAGATGCGCCGCCTGAAATGAAAGGCGAGCGAGTCCGGGGATGGGGAAAAACCAATGGCGAAGAGGTCAAAACAATTCTTCACCCGGGTTTTGGCCCCTCGGGGAAGCTTCGAGTTACGGGGTGGGCGGGTTTAACGACACAAAATGAAAAAGAAAAAAAACCTCCGCCAAAAAAAAAAATAAACACGACGAACGCCCCCCCCCCCTCGCCCCCACTCCCCCCCCCTCCCCCAGCGGCCAGGATGTTCCGCAGCAGCAGGGACTTGCCGCTGGCGGAGTCCCCGTGCAGCACCAAGGCGAAGTCCGGCGACAGGGCGTCCCCCGGCAGGAAGCGGTCCACGCAGGGCAGCGTGCCGCGGCTGCTGCGCAGGGCCTGGAAGAGGTCGTAGGCCTGAGATAGCTCCGTAGGAAAGAAACCAATCAGCTCAGAACAATCAGACCTAGTCAGCTCAGAACTCACAACAGTCAGAGACAAACTCACTAGCAACAAACAGCACACACCACACAACACACTTGTTTTTTTCTTCTTGAAATGGGCTCGGAACTACCCTCCCTCCCACGAACATGGCAACTGAGAGGGGGTCCCTTCAAAGGGAATTCATCTTCCAGGTATGTCCAGGTGCCAGGTTAGTTGGAGGAAGGGTAACAACAGTCAGAGAGCAACTCACTAGCAACAAACAGCACACACCACACAACACGCATTTTTCTTGAAATGGGCTCGGAACTACCGTACCTCCCACAAACATGGCAACAGAGAGGGGGTCCCTTCAAAGGGAATTCATCTTCCAGGTATCTCCAGGTGCCAGGTTAGTTGGAGGAAGGGTAACAACAGTCAGAGAGCAACTCACTAGCAACAAACAGCACACACCACACAACACACATTTTTCTTGAAATGGGCTCGGAACTACCGTACCTCCCACGAACATGGCAACAGAGAGGGGGTCCCTTCAAAGGGAAAATCATCTTCCAAGGATCTCCAGGTGCCAGGTTAGTTGGAGGAAGGGCAACAACAATCAGCAAAGAGCAACTCACTAGCAACAAACAGCACACACCACGCAACACGTGCTTTTTTTTTTGTTTCTTGAAATGGGCTCGGAACTACCCTCCCTCCCACGAACATGGCAACTGAGAGGGGGTCCCTTCAAAGGGAATTCATCTTCCAGGTATCTCCAGGTGCCAGGTTAGTTGGAGGAAGGGTAACAACAATCAGCAAAGAGCAACTCACTAGCAACAAACAGCACACACCACGCAACACACTTGTTTCTTCTTGAAATGGGCTCGGAACTACCCTCCCTCCCACGAACATGGCAACTGAGAGGGGGTCCCTTCAAAGGGAATTCATCTTCCAGGTATCTCCAGGTGCCAGGTTAGTTGGAGGAAGGGTAACAACCAGCAAAGAGCAACTCACTAGCAACAAACAGCACACACCACACAACACACTTGTTTCTTCTTGAAATGGGCTCGGAACTACCCTCTCCCACGAACATGGCAACAGAGAGGGGGTCCCTTCAAAGGGAAATTCATCTTCCAAGGATCTCCAGGTGCCAGGTTAGTTAAAGGAAGGGCAACAACAATCAGCAAAGAGCAACTCACTAGCAACAAACAGCACACACCACACAACACACATTTTTCTTGAAATGGGCTTGGAACTACCCCCCTCCCACGAACATGGCAACAGAGAGGGGGTCCCTTCAAAGGGAAATTCATCTTCCAACAATCTCCAGGTGCCAGGTTAGTTGGAGGAAGGGTAACAACAATCAGCAAAGAGCAACTCACTAGCAACAAACAGCACACACCACACAACACACTTGTTTTTTCTTGAAATGGGCTCGGAACTACCGTGCCTCCCACGAACATGGCAACTGAGAGGGGGTCCCTTCAAAGGGAATTCATCTTCCAGGTATCTCCAGGTGCCAGGTTAGTTGGAGGAAGGGTAACAACAATCAGCAAAGAGCAACTCACTAGCAACAAACAGCACACACCACACAACACGCATTTTTTTTGAAATAGGCTCGGAACTACCGTACCTCCCACGAACATGGCAACAGAGAGGGGGTCCCTTCAAAGGGAAATTCATCTTCCAAGGATCTCCAGGTGCCAGGTTAGTTGGAGGAAGGGTAACAACAATCAGCAAAGAGCAACTCACTAGCAACAAACAGCACACACCACACAACACACTTGTTTCTTCTTGAAATGGGCTCGGAACTACCCTCCCTCCCACGAACATGGCAACAGAGAGGGGGTCCCTTCAGAATTCATCTTCCAGGTATCTCCAGGTGCCAGGTTAGTTGGAGGAAGGGTAACAACAATCAGCAAAGAGCAACTCACTAGCAACAAACAGCACACACCACACAACACGCATTTTTTTTGAAATAGGCTCGGAACTACCGTACCTCCCACGAACATGGCAACAGAGAGGGGGTCCCTTCAAAGGGAAATTCATCTTCCAAGGATCTCCAGGTGCCAGGTTAGTTGGAGGAAGGGCAACAACAATCAGCAAAGAGCAACTCACTAGCAACAAACAGCACACACCACACAACACACATTTTCTTGAAATGGGCTCGGAATACCGTACCTCCCACGAACATGGCAACAGAGAGGGGGTCCCTTCAAAGGGAAATTCATCTTCCAAGGATCTCCAGGTGCCAGGTTAGTTGGAGGAAGGGCAACAACAATCAGCAAGGAGCAACTCACTAGCAACAAACGGCACACACCACACAACACGCATTTTTCTTGAAATGGGCTCGGAACTACCGTACCTCCCACGAACATGGCAACAGAGAGGGGGTCCCTTCAAAGGGAAATTCATCTTCCAAGGATCTCCAGGTGCCAGGTTAGTTGGAGGAAGGGCAACAACAATCAGCAAGGAGCAACTCACTAGCAACAAACAGCACACACCACACAACACACATTTTTCTTGAAATGGGCTCGGAACTACCGTACCTCCCACGAACATGGCAACAGAGAGGGGGTCCCTTCAAAGGGAAATTCATCTTCCAAGGATCTCCAGGTGCCAGGTTAGTTGGAGGAAGGGCAACAACAATCAGCAAAGAGCAACTCACTAGCAACAAACAGCACACACCACACAACACACATTTTTCTTGAAATGGGCTCGGAACTACCCTCCCTCCCACGAACATGGCAACTGAGAGGGGGTCCCTTCAAAGGGAAATTCATCTTCCAAGGATCTCCAGGTGCCAGGTTAGTTGGAGGAAGGGTAACAACAATCAGCAAAGAGCAACTCACTAGCAACAAACAGCACACACCACACAACACACTTGTTTCTTCTTGAAATGGGCTCGGAACTACCCTCCCTCCCACGAACATGGCAACAGAGAGGGGGGGTCCTTCAAAGGGAAATTCATCTTCCAAGGATCTCCAGGTGCCAGGTTAGTTGGAGGAAGGGTAACAACAATCAGCAAAGAGCAACTCACTAGCAACAACAGCACACACCACACAACACACATTTTTTCTTGAAATGCGCTCGGAACTACCCTCCCTCCCACGAACATGGCAACAGAGAGGGGTCCCTTCAAAGGGAAATTCATCTTCCAAGGATCTCCAGGTGCCAGGTTAGTTGGAGGAAGGGCAACAACAATCAGCAAAGAGCAACTCACTAGCAACAAACAGCACACACACCACACAACACACATTTGTTCTTGAAATGGGCTCGGAACTACCCTCCCTCCCACGAACATGGCAACAGAGAGGGGTCCCTTCAAAGGGAAATTCATCTTCCAAGGATCTCCAGGTGCCAGGTTAGTTGGAGGAAGGGTAACAACAATCAGCAAAGAGCAACTCACTAGCAACAAACAGCACACACACCACACAACACACATTTGTTCTTGAAATGGGCTCGGAACTACCCTCCCTCCCACGAACATGGCAACAGAGAGGGGTCCCTTCAAAGGGAAATTCATCTTCCAAGGATCTCCAGGTGCCAGGTTAGTTGGAGGAAGGGTAACAACAATCAGCAAAGAGCAACTCACTAGCAACAAACAGCACACACCACGCAACACGCATTTTTCTTGAAATGGGCTCGGAACTACCGTACCTCCCACGAACATGGCAACAGAGAGGGGGTCCCTTCAAAGGGAAATTCATCTTCCAAGGATCTCCAGGTGCCAGGTTAGTTGGAGGAAGGGTAACAACAATCAGCAAAGAGCAACTCACTAGCAACAAACAGCACACACCACGCAACACACATTTGTTCTTGCAATGGGCTCGAAACTGGCTTAATTGAATGGGAAGGCACGCCCCTCTCAGCCCAAGAGAGCCAACTGAGCGAGGTCAAGACTTGGAACTGAGGTCGGGCTCACAATCAATACCGTATTGGTACTGGCGTGGTGTACCCAAACCAATGGTAAAAAGCTACAAAGCCGGATTCCTGCACCGAATTCTGGCTACAACTTTCCCATAAACCGTCACTTATCCAGGTTGAGATTGTGGCTCAACTAGTGTTTGGATTCGGGGGTGTGCCACCCGAAGTCAATGGCTGAAGGCACTCCCCTCTCCCAAGCCAGGGGAGAAATGCTGATAACAAAACCGAAAGTCTCAGCAAAGCCCTAAGCACAGGAAGCCTGGAAAACATGAATGGAGAACACTTGCAAGCGCAGGTCGGGGAAATCAACTCTGCCCACCACAAGAACATCTGAACAAAAGCCGAAAAACAACTGGGCATGGGTCAAAATTAAACCACCAGGGCATCGCAGGTTTTAGTCCCTGGTCCTATGTTTGACCCACAGCCAACTCGGGCAGCTCGCGAGTTTCGAGGCATGGGGCGGTCTCATCCGGAGCGACCAGTGCATCCACCTTGGTGGCCTCATCCAGAACCAGCGCCATAGCGGGCGGCTTTGGCGCAGTCGACCAAACCACAAGGGGGATGCAGCCGTGTGTCACTCGCGTCACTTGCAGACCAAACATGCGCAAGGTGTGAGCTGTCAGGCTGCGTCCTGCTCCCCCCAAAAAGAATCCGGCCGAGCCCTGTAGCCAAATCACAGGCGCCAACCAACGCATTGGTTTCATAGGCTAGTTAACCCCCCCTCCGTAACTGTATCCCCCCCCCAATGTGACTTTGAGTGGCATCGGGTCCAAAAATGAAGAAACATGTTCATTTTGAATCTTGGGCTTAGTAGGGCTTAGTAGGGCTTAGTGGGGCTTAGTAGGCCTTAGTAGGCCTTAGTAAGGCTTAGTAAGGCTCAATCATGTGTTTTGCTTCGAGTGCTAGCAAGGCTCAGCAGCTCTCAGTAAGACATGGCCACCACTCAAAATTGATCATGCGTGCTACTGAGTCTTGCTGAGCAGTTGGAACCGCAATGATCCCTATGTGTGCTGGCATTTTCTTAGCGGTCATTTGTGCTGCAACTGCGCCGCGCACTGAACACCTGGGAATTAAACATCAGCGGATGCAGACCTAGTAGCACTCAAAGGCACTCAATAGCAATCAGCAAGCGCTCACTAGCGTTCAGAAAGCACTCAGTAGCAGACAAAAGGCACTCAGTAACACTCAGTAACACTCAGTAGCACTCAGTAACACTCAGTAACACTCAGTAACACACAGTAGCACTCAATCACAACCTAAAACAGCACATTTTTGAAATCCCGGCTCAGTAAGCACTCAGTAGCACTCAGTAACACTCAGTAACACTCAGTAACACTCAATCACAACCTAAAACAGCACATTTTTGGAATCCCGGATCAGTATACACACTCAGTGGCACTCAGTAGCACCCAGGACCTCTCAATCACCCGCCAAGAACACAGCACATGGGCGATCCAGGCTCAGTAACTATTTAGTAGCACGCAATGATGCTTCGAGCCCCAGGCAAGCTTCAACAATCCAGCTTTGCTATGCAAAATTGAAAGCAACCCGCACATGCCAAATCCTTGCTGGGCTCAGTAGTGCTCAGCAACACTCGGTGAGTCTTGCTGAGATTTTGACATTTGGGGGGGGGATACCGGGGGGGGGGGGGTAAACTAACCTATGATGGTTGGTAACCATTCACGAGGAACTCCCATGCGATTTCCTCCCTCCCCCTCCCCCCGCCCTCCGCCCCAGTCCGTTCGGTCGCAAAGCTTGGGCCTGTAATCCTCAGCTGGAGCCGGCGCTCCAGGCGCCTCATCTCGGTGAAGACGCGGTCCGCCAGGGATGTACCTTTGGCCATGGGCTTTCCTATCGCTGGTGCGAATCGGAATCGGTTCAATCGCTGGCGACGCGAGCTTGCCATTTCACCAATGGAAGACTCCCGTGAGCCTGTGGAAAACATATGCACCTGAATGAACCAAGGTGTTGCACGTGTCCTGCCAGAGAGACTCCGGGCGTCAGGCTGAGCCCATCCATTTCAGCCTCGCAGGAACCGACGCAGGTGCCTGTACCAACTGGTTGGCTTTCGGGTCAGATCCAAGGCATTCAGAATCCTTCTGTTGCTGTGCCTGTGGCGAATGCATTGACATATATATATATATATATATGTGTGTGTGTGTGTGTGTATTATGAATTCATATATATATATATACATATATGTATTTATTTATTTATTTATTTGTTTACCTAATATGTATATACCAATGACGGCCTTTCTCTGACACCTGCAGTCCCCAAGCTCCACCTAGCAACCTCCCAGAACCGTGTGGACTGCACGGCGACCTTGCCTCTGCCCTCTCGCGGCACCAGCGCAGCTGGGCCTGCAAGAGCTGATCCACCTGAGCCATCAGCCATCGACCTCCAAAGAACTTCGGGCACCTCGGGCCCTTCGGTCGGGCGAGGCAAGTCTGAAGCAAATGCCGGGACCTGGCCAACTCGGGAAAGCGAACCCGGCAGATCGGCCAGGGGCCGAAAAGAAATAGATGGCACGCAGCCACTTCTTCATCCAAGCTGCGGAAGGCTGCCGGAAGAACATGGCTTCATCCCACAAGTCCTGACAAGCATTGTGCTTTGTCTGTCTGGCGAAAAGAGACTGTCCAAATCAATCCTCCCGCAAATATCATTGGCACAACGCGCAAAACGAAAACACAGATGCGGCACATCAATCTTGACGGAGCCACGGGCAGAAACGTCTGAAACGTGCAGGACAGCAGTCTGAAACCTTCCAAAAGCTTTTTCCGGCGCTTCCACTAAAGCCGAGGTCGTTTTGAGGTGGCCACGGTTCAACCGAACCAACTCCTGTTTCCCCTTCATGACCAGCTGGCCGCTTTGCCTACGTTGAAATCAAACATGTGTCCTTAGTACTGATGGTTGGGGGTCGTGGAAGGGCACCCGCAGTATCCAGCACCTTGTGATTCAACCACTGCACGCTGACCGACAAAGTTTCTTGGTGAGAGCAGACTTCCTTCACTTGCAAGCAGCGCTGGACAACGCTGCGAAGCTCGCAAAGTGCGAAGGTCATGAAGCCCAGAAACGCTGGGCCCCCATTTTGCCTCTTAGTTGGCCAATCCTAATCCATAATCCCTGTAGGAAAGCCACTACAAAGGGGACCCCTTGCGAAACCCCAGGTAAGGATTAAGGATTACCTTTGAACAGCCCAGATAGATCGCAAGCGTTGGTTTCTTCAAGCTATGTTACTGGGGATAGCTTCTCACAGCGCCGGGTATGTGTCATCTAGGGGAAGACGGCCTGCCAATCTTCTGAAAGGTTATTTTGGTCTTTTTTGAGTGTACCAACTTTTGGTCGGTTTTTAAATGAAACCAAAACGAAACCGAAGCCCATTTTGGTGGTGACACTCCCCCTACCAGTCCGATAACCGCCCAAGACAATTCCTCCTCTGGCAGCTCAGAAGGCTGTGTTTCCACCGGTGACCTGCGCAAGCCCGGAGAGTTCGGTCGCTTGCAAATGGGAGAAGAAAAAAAGAAGGAGAAAAAGAAGAAGAAGAAGAAAGAAAAAAAGGAAGCGCGACAGCACTCCACAGAGCCAACCTGCACGTAGGAGTTGTCGCCGACTCAGCGCCGGTGTTCGCCGGATGAGCCGGCGCGCCGGTCTCCTGCCACGGGGCGGAAGCGGCCACCCAACTCAATTGAAAAGAGATAGCAAAAAGAAAGAAAGAGGGACAAAGGGAGAAAGGGAGAAAGGGACAAAGAGAAAGGAGAGAGAGAGAGAGAGAAAGAAGAGAAAAAAAAACAGAGACAGAGCGGAGCAGTGCCCTGAGTCATCACTCTAGCCAAGCAAGAAAAACCAAATGTTTTGGCATTGCTTGCTCCAATCAATGGATACAAGCCGCCAACAGAGGCAAAGCTGCCAGGAATCTCCCCCGCACCTCTGGTGCCACAGCATCCGCCAGTCGCTTCCTCAGAAGCGATATCTTGGCTCCGGTCAAGCTGGTCGCTTCAAGGGGGGCGCCCTTGAGGTGCAGAAAACAAAGGGAGCTTCTCACGGGAGCTGTTCGCTTGCAGGACACAAGCATCATCCAGGGCGGCAGCTTTGCTGAAAGAAGGCGCCTGAGCCAAATGCCGCAAAGCCAACCGCCCCCCCAAATCCAAACACGGAAAGCTCAAGCCTCACTCCTCATATCGCTTGGGGGGCTGTGGCACACCCGTTGCCTTTCACAGATCTGGACTGGTTGGATGATGCTGCAACATTGCTTGCGGTGTGGCGGCATTGACTCCCAGCATGCATGTCGCCTGCCGCACTTCTCGTGCCGTGCCGTTTGTTGCTTCTGCATAACACCCCCTGGTGTCGGCCCTTTCCGGCACGGAAATCACTGCATGTTCCACCCACCCCACCCCCTCCCGCGAACAGCTTGCCTATAATCCTGCAGCTCACGCCACGCCCTGGAGACCACGAAGTGCCGAGGCAAAGGGCAAGCTGAGTAGGCGAGATGAACCCTTGCTTCCCTGGCGTCACCAAACCATGAAATAGTGCTGGACACCATGGTGACAAACGAACAAACTGAATATGCTCTGGCCGTCGCGCTGATCCTCTGAAAAAAGAGCTCCTAAAAAAATCACTTCACTGACACCAACCCACCAACCATACTGCGCAACTCAAGGAGTGGCTAGGTCAGACTTATGCGCACGTGTGTGTGTGTGTGTGTAATCCCGGCGCTTGTCTCCCCTCTCACCATGTCACGGCTTAACGCATTCGGCATGTGTCAAGAGCTGCCCCCCAAGCTAAACCAAACCACCAATCTACAAAAGCCACCAACCCACAAACCACCCAATCCAAACCCCAAGAACCAGGGCTTGGTTAACCCCCCAGACCCACCAATTTGGGGTCCGGGGAGACCGAGAGAATCGGGTCTCGCAGCCTGCAGCCCCCAGCCTTTGAATCCGCCGGCAGCTTTTCAGCAACGCCGCCTGGCGGCTGAGAGCGGAAAAAACTGCCGTCCCTGCACCCGAGATGTGAGTCATGACGCTTCAGGACGGAAGGAAACACACACGAGTTGCAATTCAAACAGGACGTGCAAAAACAAAAGCCAAAAAACAGGCTCCCAAAGACCGCAGGATGGCCACACATGAGGTGCAGTTCCAACAGGACGCAAAAACAAAAACAAACAAACAAACAAAAACGGGCTCCCAAAGCAAAGACAACCAGATGGCCCAGCTGACAGGTGAAAACCCCATGTGACCTTCGTAAGCCGCTGGCACTAAGCGCCGTGTTGGCCCAAGGTTGCTGCCCTCACAGCCTGACCATCCTCAATCTCCGCTCGAGCATGGATCGCAGTCCCAGCTGATCCCCAAGCCCTGTGCATAACTTGCCTCAAGTACTCCAGGACGAGTTGGCTGACGTCTTTTGAGCCTTTTTTTGCAGGCAAATTAGCTTCAACCCTCGTGTGTTTCAACCACGCCCCAAAAAATTGGCGGAGCCCGTGCCTGATCCACGCCAGGTCGTGGCAACTGGCCCCGCAGCAGCCGCTGCCTCTGGAGCTCTCATATTCGCGTCTCACCCTTCGAAGTGGGGTTTTCATGTTTTGACTACAAGGTAGATTTATCACGTTGACCCCCTATTAATCAACCAACCAGTTTGCTAGTAGGGGGCCCCAATATTTGTTGAACAGGGGTTTATCAGGGATCCTTACAATATACACCTGAACATTGCCTTGTAAATGGTTGTTTCCTTTTATTTTAGTGGAAAAAACTATGTTTCAAATGCGCAAAATGTATCGTTTAAGGAGCCCTGTTTATTAATAGGGAGTGTTCATTACCCAGGCGCAACACCAAAAAAACAACTGCTTCTTTCGATTTTTTGATGGGGACTTGTGCGCCTCGCGGCTTTTATTTTGCCGCGAGTTGTGGTTGGTTCACTTGCCAACTTTCAGGACTAAACGGCGCAGACACGCCCAGACTCTCAGACACAAGCACGGGCATACAAACAAACAAGGAAGCCCAAGGAATGAAAGAACGAACGAACGAACGAACGAATGAATGAATGAACGAACGAACGAACGAACGAACGAATGAATGAATGAATGAATGAAAGAATGAAAGAATGGAAGGAAGGAAGGAAGAAAGAAGGAAAGAAACAAACGCCAAAGCGACGCAACGCAACGCAACACACCAAAAAAAAAAAACGACCGCTGCGTGCTACTTCATACTCCCCACCCTAAACCCTAAGCCATCCCGCTCTAGTGGCCTGGGAAAGCCCGAAAGCTGGGGCACGCGCCGCGAGTGGAAAGCGCCACACCGCCAGAAATACCGGATGAAGAAACCCATGGTGTCACCCAAAAATGAAGCCCTGGGTCAGTGGCAAAAGAAGGCGCACCACGTCATTTCGGGGCATGAACTTGATTTGGCCTTTGGTCATCATTTCGGGACATTTCGGGGTGATATCTGTCCACCAAGCGTTTGAGTTCGGTGGTTCCCTGAGATTCAGAGCCACTGATTTGTTTGCCGTGGCGCTCCAGGAGCTCTTTCGGCTTTAGGACCTGGCGACTCTTCTGGCCAACTTGTACGTGGGCGTGCCCGACCGTCTTGTTTGAGGGTACCCATGTGAACCAAAACGATGCTTCTTCTTCTTCTTTCTTTTATGTTCTTTTCTTTCTTTCTTATTTTTTTTTTTTGGGGGGGGGCGCAGAAGAAGAAAAAAAAAGACACGCCCACGTCCTCGGGTCCACAGTCCTAAACTCAAGAACCTTTCATGGTTCTTTGCTTTATCCCCTCGCGCGCTGGGCGATAGCGCCTCTACTTTCAGCCGCAAGCCTGGCTTGCCTGGCCGGATCCAGGGCGGGTTCGCCTACCTGCCAAGCAACTGGACCAGCGTTGCTGAAACCCTCTTGTTGAACAACCATGCAGCTTGTGCCAGAAGCAGGCATGATGGTTTCACTCGTGCTTCAGGAAAAATGAGCAAGTGAGTCACAATCAAAACCCGGTATTAAAATGGTCGACCCAGAACCATGTAAAGAATTAAGAAGGCGGCCGCAGCTATTTATGGTTGGGATTGTCCTTTACTAACTAACCTTCATCTACCCGGGTTTTGATTGTGACTCACAAGTGAGCCTCCACCTTACAAAATGAGGTTGGACACGGAAGTAAAGTGATCATGATATCCTGCTCCTCGCAGGCATCATTGTGTTTGCCTGCGACGCAACCCGCGAGGCAGTTGAGTTGCCAACAGCCAAACAAGAACATGTATCGGGCCTGGCCAAAGCTAAGCCACAGCGACCAATGGTGATTGAACGCATTCAAGTTGCGAGCCGGGAATACCTCCCAGCCCTTTTGCACAATGCCCCTTGCCCACCTGGCCCTAAGGGAGGCAGAGTTTGAGGTCGCCGGGGCGTCAGCCTGGTGAGGGGATTGCCCTCTTCAGGTTGAAGCTTCACTTTGCACGCCGATGGCGTTTGCTTGCAACTTCCAACAGTCAGAAACAAAACCTCCACCCAGAACCATGTAAACCCATTTCTGGTTGGGACTCTCCCTTCCTAAAGTTTAATCTACCCGAATCGGTTTTGCTTGCGGCTTGCACGTGGAATCTGCTTGGGGCAACGGCACACGACTCACAAAACGGGGCACTCGAATCGGCCGTCTCACTTCGCTGAGCCGGCGCGCCGCGAAGCCCCGAAGCCGAGCGTGTGTGGCTCACCTCGAGGTCCCATTGGCAGATGTGGCCCGGTTCGGTTGGGAGGGCCGGCGCACACATCATGTGAAGGGGAAAGCGAAGCAAAGAAAGGCAACACCAAAAAGAGCAAAGGCAAGAAAACAAGGGGGCAAGCAGCCAGCAATGAAACAGGAAAGCGGCACACCATCCACGCAGGCAGGCAGGCGGGCGGGCGGGCGGGCGGGCGGGCGGGTGGGTGTCAGGCAGACGGGCACGGGTAGGCAGTGGCAGACGGGCAAATACTGACAGGAACACACACAAACGAAAACAAACAAACGGAGACTTTGGCAGCCTCAGGTACGGGTATAGACAGACACGCCAATCAGAGAGCCAAAGGGAGAGAACACAAGAGACAAAGAGACGGGCACAAACACCCCACCCACAGACTGGCATCCAAGCAAAACAAGCAAGCAGGCAGGCAGGCAGGCAGGCAGGCAGGCAGGCAGGCAGGCAGGCAGAGAGGCCGGCAGGCAGGCAAGCAAGCAAGCAAGCAGGCAATCTTGCAAACAATCAAGCAAGCAAGCAAGCAAGCAAGCAAGCAAACAAACAAACAAAGCAAAACAAAAGGACGAAACGTAGGGCGTCTGCAAAGGGGCAAAGAAAACCCCGACATGCGTCGTGGCTTCCAGTTCAGAAGGACATGTAAGCAAGCCATAGGCAGCAGTCCGATTCTAGTTGATAGCGTATTCCGGTGTGGCATAAGGTGCCATGCATCCCAGCTAGAGGATGTTTTGTCCGGCCCTATCTTTGCAAATCCCGCCAGCCATGGGGGGCATGGATCGCACTTGCCATGAGTGAATTGACCGCACCCTGCATCACTCCTCTCAGGGATTTGTTTGAGGGCATCACCTTGTACGTGCCCCATGAAGCCACAGCTGCAAAAGTTGCCCATAATCCGTGGTTCCGCTAACAGGTTCGCCAGGGACGCAATCGGCAACCATCTTGATACGAGAGGCGTGTGACCTCCCGGCCCATGGCAAATGGATCGGCCCGTTTTGGCAACCAGCGGACGTGTCAGCCCCTGGCTCATTCGAATCATTGATGCTTTCAGTTCGTTTGTGTTCAGTGACGTTTGTGCAATTGTGTGCGCGTTGCGCTGACAGCTGCCGTGACAGCTCCGCTTCAAAGTCTTTCTGCCTTTCTGCTCTGACATGGTGCGAGCTAAGCCGTAACAACAAGCATCTATTCTCCGCAGCCCCCTGTCGAAGCGCGCGGCGGCGCGGCGTGTGGTGACGGCATGTAGTGATGGCATGCGGTCCGCACTTTGCCTCTCCTTCACCATTTTCAAAGGATGTGCCCCAAAATGGGGGGGGGGTCTCCTGCCCCTTTACCAAAGCTCCAGTTTCAGGGTTTTAGGTGAAGAGTCTCCCACCAGCTCCTGAGCCCAATAGGAGTAATTTGACACGCCTCACACGGGCCTACAGACTGCGTCCCAAGACACTACCAAAAAGAATGGAGTAAGCCCAACATATGTGCACCAACTATCGTTTGCGAGTGTCAAAAATGGGAAGGTGCCTGCCTGCCGGCGTGAGAGCCTTGTTGTGAGTTGTGAGACGAGTTTCCTGCAAAAAACACCTCCCTGCTGCCAGGGATGCCTTCCTGATTCATTTGCAACCGCCCTGGCTGTCCCGCTAGCAGTTTTGCCAAAAAAAAAAAAAAAAGGTTCGCCATCCTCATCCAACTTGTTCCGATAAAGCTCCCCCTGCAATCATGACAGAGGACGGCAGCCAGCTCAGCATGTGAATACCTCGGCACTCGCAACCCCACATATTCCTCCGCACCTTTCGGCAGGAGTGCAACGTGCGAGGTCATCCGCATGCTTCGACTACGGACATGCCCACACCAAAAGACCAAAGCCGAAAGAGAAAGGGAGAAATCAGTGATAGTGCAAGTCATGCTGATGATGCTGACGGTGTTGACGGCGTCTGTGCTGTCGTGATGCTGAAGATGCTGCTGATGGCGCGTGTTCTGCTGACAAGCCCAAGGATGCTTGGGAAGCGCAGTGATTGTGATGCTGACTTTTGCTGGTACTAATGACTGGTAGTGCTGCAGCTGGTGCCTATGATGGGTGCCGATGCTGCCGGCAAGTGCGGCGCTGGTTGCGTGGTGGTGACGCTGGTGGTTGTGCTGGACAACGGCGCTGATGGTGTGGTGTGATTGATTTTCCGCCTGATGTGGCCTGGCAAGGTCTGACGCTGCATCAAGCTGCTACCCGAAGACTGCAAGCCACTCGAAAGCAGCGCAAATGACATTGCAGACCTGCTGAACTCTCAGGTGCCAGCTCGAGCGAAATCGCCTCTCGCAGGCACGAACGGTCACTCCCAAGGAAGCGCTGACAGGCCCCGTTCACAGAGCTATCCTGCCGCGTTGGGCTCCTCAGAAGCTTTGGACACCCTGCCATCCACCTCCACATGACCAATACGATACTTTACTGCTGGTCAGGAAGCTACCATGGCCCCTAGGCTGAACGCCATAATTTTAGTACGTAGCCCGGCAGCCCCTTGATCAGGGTCTTGCCTCCAACGTCAGAGGGAAACCGCAAGACGTTAACACATACACAACATACATGCGTGCATGCCTACATACATACGCCACAAGCAAAACACAAACAACAACAAAAAGCAATAACGATGCAGAGGGATTCGAACTTTCAAGGTGTGGAAGAAGGCAGCGCGGCATCCATTGGGCAACTTGGCGAGTTAGCAATTCACATGCACGTGAAATACATACAGTATGTTGCATTGCACCACAACCTGCTACGCACATTGCACACGTTGCATGAATCGCGTCTTTACGTGCACTAGACTACATTACATGCATTCCAT